AGCACTCAATCTGCAGGGCTTGCTCTGTTTGTGCAGTTTTGTGGTGTTTCTGAGATGGAGAGTGCTTGAGAGGCAAATGGCTCGTGCAAAAGCTTGGTTGGGTAGTTTGGAATGTGTTTGATAGCTTTTGTGTTGTGTTCCTATGCTGAAGAGAGAGTTGTGATAAGTTATGTAATGTTACTTGAAAATGAAGCAAGCAATGATCACTTTGTGTTTTAGGTCAGTAGGGGCCTCTAATCCTGCTGCATAAGCCTCTCTTGATCAGAGCAATTTGCCCATAATCTTGTGCCAAAAGGATTTTGCTTGTACCTTCTTGGATTTCAATTTGACATAAAGTTAATCTTTTTCAAAAATAGAAAGTTCACTTTATCTAGTTTAGGATTAATCCACTATGCAATGTTAGAACACAAAGAACATGGTCTTAACACATTGAACATGCATTAAATTATTGAGTATGGAATGGTTCAAGGACCTGTAATCAAGCATAAAGCAAGCTAAGTTCAGATTTGCAAAGTTATGAACATGTTTTGATGAAGAACAAAAGTGAATTTTTGCCAACTTGTGAAATTCGAATCTCTCAAGTTATGAGGTTGTTTGATGAGTTCTTGGACATTTTGGAAAGCTTGGAATGTGTACTACAATCCATCTTTGAAATGCAAATCAAAATTCCAAGTGGAAGGGTATGAAAAGTGGCCTTGAAGTGGGGTAGAAAACCTTGTCAAAATAGGTTAAAATTTCACTAAGTTAAAAATGGTTTAGTGCCCTTATTCAAAAAATTGTAACTTGAGATACAAGCTTCAAATGAGAAAATTTTGTGAATCAAAGTTGTAGATTATGCAACAAGCTACAACTTTCATGTTTTGACTTTTGTTTGAATCCAAATGGATCTTGGTGAAAAGGTGGGGCAAAGTTGGGAAAAAATTAGGGTTTTTCATAACTTAGAAAAATTCTAAGTTATGAAAAATTCCATTTTCAAACCCTAATTTGCACTTTGTGATTTCTTGGTGAACAAGTTTCATGATTTGGCAAGTTTTGATGAAAAATTAATCTTGACTCTTGATTTTGACCAAAAAGTCAAAGTTTGACTTTTCAGTGTACAGTCAAAATTGATCAATTGACTGGGAAATTCAACTGTCAATCCTGTGTACTTGGGATCTTTTGAGTTTGATGAACATGTCAAGATAATTCCATGGGGTCCTTGAGTCCATATGTGAGCTTGGTTTGCCATTGGCTAGGTCAAACAGTCAAAAATTGCCTTTGTGCAGTCAAAACCCTAAAAATGACCATTTTGCCCTTTTGGTGATTTGATCAAATTTCTTGTGGAACTGTGATCCAAACTTGATCAAATGGTTCATGTGAGTTCATAATGTTGATGTGGATCAAATTTCATGAGGTTTGACTGTCAATTGGCCACAGTTGACTTTTTCCCCAATACAGCTGATTTCTAGGTCAACTGTCCAATTGACTGGGCAAAACTTGGAATCAAGACTTGAAACTTGGTATAGGTAAGCTTGGGAGTCCAATATGAAGCATGAAAGTCATCTTAGGCCTTTTAGGTCAAAACATCCTTGGGCAAACACAAACCCTAATTTGAGTCCACAGTGCAAGGAGAAGTCTTGAGCAGAGGAAACCCTAATTGGATCTTGATCTTCAAAGGTCTTGTGATGAGAAAATGTTGAGGAAATGGGAGGGCAAATTTTGGGGTACAACACCTGTTGCTTTTTATCATGGAGGATTGCAAAAAGAAACGACTTTCTGGGGATAGAAATGTGGCTTCCCGGGGAAATAGATATGACTTCCTGGGGAAATGAGATATGACTTCCTGGGGAAATGAGATATGACTTCCTGGGGAAATGCCACATTATTCCTGCTGAAGAGATAAAGTCTTCTCGTGCAAAATAAATGCACAAATCAAAGCTCAAAGTCCTCAGAAATCCAGAGTAAATAATATTGTCATGCAACTACAAATCCAATTAGAAACAAACTGGAGCAAGACGGCCAAAGAAAATACATCCTTTGAGAAATAAACTCAAGAGGGAAAACCAAATCCAACTAAGCAAGGAGCGCGGCAGGAAGGTTTGAACACAATGTCAATAAAAAATGATTTGTAATAATGCATGATGCATGTATGAATGTATGAGTGATATCGTGCATATGCTGGTAAGAGGATACATAATCGAACAAAACTTCCTCAGGTACTAACAACATTGGTCTAAACTTCAACCAGAAAGATCAATCCAAGAAAGGTAAAAGCAACTGCGGAAACCAAACCTATTGTCTGTCCTAACTTCACTGAGGAGAAACATAATCCGGATGTAGCTAAATCAAACAGATACCGGGATAGAACATCTTTCTTCCGTTTTCATCGGAGTAGGGATGGAAACGGGTCAGGTCGGGTACGGGTTTCACACTACCCACACCCGCACCCGAAATCATCACCCGAACCCGAACCCGAAGGCTATTCGGGTGACAAAATCACACCCGCGCCCGCACCCGTTGGGTTCGGGTTTTTTCACCCAAACCCGAACCCGAAGGCTATTCGAGTGACAAAATTACACCCGCGCCCGCACCCGTTGTGTTCGGGTTTTTTCACCCAAATCCAAATCCGCACCAAAAAAAAAATTACAATTAAAATAAGGTCTCTTTACATTATCTTCAAGAAAATGCAATCACAATTATCTTAACATAGTCTTCAACATCTTAACATTACAATTAAAATTAAATTCTCCAATCAAATTACAACTTTTCAACAACAACAAGCTAATATATTACAACTTTCTTGTGTAAGATTAGATGTTCCTTCCGGCTCCGGAGTTGTGTTCACTTGATCTATTTTACCTATTACAAAGAAAATATATTTCACATGTTAAGAAACACTAATAGATATTATCATCATAATTTTAAATTGTAATAACAAACATGTGAAACTTAAAACATATAAAACATGTAACTTAATTCTTGGTAATGCTGAACTTTTAAATTGTAATAAGAAGAATCCTTTAGACCACTTCTTGATACATACAGAGATGTAATAGCTTACAACACAGATAACATATCGCTTTTAAATTGTAATAATTTTAACATGCCATATTCTTGATAATTTATCATGTTTGCAACTGGAATAAAACTGCCTATAATAATGTTTGTCTACTAACTTTCAGCATGCTTGCATGCGCGTTAAATATCATGTTTTTGAACTGTCTAGAAACATAAGCACAACACTAAAAGAACTGTCTAATATCAAAAGCATTAGTGCAAATTAGTCGGGGCAACAATGGTGGAAGATAGAAACAATAATACTCACCATGTTAACATATAGAAACAACAACTTCTAATCTTCAAAATGGTAACCCAAACAACCTTCCATCAACTCAGTTGTATTAACAAATAAATTGATATTAAATAAAACACTAAAGCTTAAAACTTCTACACCAAATGAAGTACAAAATACCTTCATCGTCTGACTCCATTTCATTCAACACAGTAGCAATTTCTTCTGCAACTCTAAAAATTCCTATATATATTATATAACAAGAAAAATTAGTAATATATTATTTGCCAATGACATACCAAAGTAGTAATACATTATATAACAAAAAAATTAAGGTAGAAAGTAAAAATAATTTGACAATGACATAACGTTATTCTCAGCAGCCCATAGCCAACTCCTAGCACACATCAAAGCCTCTACGGTAGTCCAGTTAAGTTGGCTACGATGAGGACTCAATATTCTACCACTATTACTGAAGGCCGATTCAGAAGCTACTGTAGAGATGGGAATAGCTAACACATCTCTTGCAATTGCTTGAAGTGTTGGATACACAACTCCATTTACCTTCCACCAATTCAAAATGTCAAATTCTGGAGTATTTTTTATAACTGGCTCTTTCAAATAATGATCTAACTCATACTTAACACTTGAACTTGAGTCTTCGGAAACGGCAATTGTCTCAATGTATGCATCAAATTCAACCTCGTCATCAATAATAGCAGTTGTACCAATGGATGGAGCAGTAGGTTGTGCATCTCTAAGTTTAATCTGTTGATAATCATTGAGCAAATCATAACACATGTCTTTGATTCTACTAACTTGTGCACTTGATTCTTCTCCATACAACTTAGGAAACCAGAAATTAAGTATAACCATCTTCTTCCTAGGATCCAAAACTGCAGCAACTCCCATCATATCATGAACACCACTCCAATAATTTTGAAATTTTTCCATCATTCTTGTGGCCATCATCTCAATAATTGAATTGGAGGACTTCTTCCATTCCTCTATTGCCAACTTAATCTTACAAATCTTAGGAAAGTACAAGTTGGCAGTTGGATATTTTGTACCAGAAATCAACTCAGTTACTTCATTAAATAATTTTAAACACCCACAAACATCTTTAGCAAATTGCCATTGTGAATTAGTTGGAAGACAAGTGTACAAAGACTCACGTTGCTTCAACCGAATAAATACATCCTTGTACTCTATGGCAATATCAAGCATCTTATATGTGCTATTCCATCTTGTTGGACAATCTAGAGCTAACTTTCTAGTGCAAATAATTCTCAATTGTCTAGCGGTATCTTCAAAATTTTCATACCTTTTAGGTGTAGCACTCCAAAATCCTACACTATCCCGAATATTTTCTATGCCATCCTTAATCACTTGTAGCCCCTCCTGAACAATTAAATTTAGGATGTGCGCACAACAACACATATGTAACAAAGACCCATCCCTTATTAAACATTCCAACGACAACTTATCCTTAATTTTCCTAATCATTGAGTCATTTGTGATACAATTATCTAAAGTAATCGTAGAAAGCTTTGAATCAATGTTCCAGTCCATTAAACAATTAACAAGTGCTTCAGCAAGTCTTTCACTAGTGTGAGGGGCTGGAACATAAATGAACCTAACATAATATTTACAAAAAACAAGTCTTTCACTTATTGTCATTAAGAACAAAAAAAAAATACAATTAAGTTATAAAATATAAACATTGTTACCTCAAGATTCGACTCTGTAAAGTCCACGAGCCATCAATATAGTGAGCCGTAACCGCCATATACCCTTTTTTTTGGTTGCTTGAAGTCCACATATCTGTGGTAATTGCCACTCTCCCTTCATGGTTATCTAACATCTTCATAGCACATTTTTTCTCAAAATCATAAACTTTCAATACCTCCTTCTTGATTGTGTTTCGAGTAGGAACTTTAAACAATGGTTGGAGAGAAACAAAGACTCTTCTAAGACCAATGTGATACACAATTGATAGTGGATAATCGTGCATAATAATAGCTTCAGCAATCAACTTCTTCACATGTTCTGGATCATAAGTTCCAATTCCCAACTCTTGCTTTCCTTCTGAGATAGTCGGTAGGAGAAATGGTTGTCCTTTGTCATGGTTTCTAGTCTTGATCTTTTTTTGAATACAACTCAAGAGATGTCCTTTCAAGTGATTTGTTCCATTCTTTAAAGTGTCACTAAGTTGTTTTTTACACCAGATGCATTCAGCCTTATCTTTTCCATTCACTTTCATCTTTTTAAATTCTTGCCACACATTACTTCTAAGTTTCTTTGATGCAGGTTCTAAAATTGTATCAATTTCTTCTTGTTGCCCAATATCAGGTTCAGGTGACGGATTCGAATTAGAAGATACCTCATGAGTTGGACATGTACTTTCTTGTGTAGGATTAGATGCTCCTTCTGGTTTCGGGGTTGTGTTCACTTGATCCATTTTACCTACTACAAACAACAAGAAATTTCATAAACAATTGTATAAAAGAAAATGAGACTTTAAGAAGGCACGAAAAAACATACCACCACAAGATTCATAATCGCAAACACCTTAACATTCATACAAAGTTTAAAAAAGAAATTAAAATGATAAAAACTATTATTGATAAAAGCTATTATTAAAAGTAATGTTTTTACACGAGACAACATGGTTTTGTTTCAAATATGAAGTTATATCTCTCTTTTTCAACTGTCAAAGATTCACAGTCCAGCAACAATGGGCTATGATCCGAGTGCGACGCGAGGTGATTCCACAACTTTGCATTTGAAAACCGACTACCGCGACAGAATCCATTACAATCGCTTACCGCTTGACAGAAACCTGGTGCCATCTCAATTGCTAGACAACTTAAACTACCACTGGCCAGTTCACTATTGCTTGTATAACTCAGATATATTTTACATCAACAAAACATTAATAACTTCTCAAAACCTCAACTGCCACACGTTCTATGTTTCACATGTTCAACTGATTAATAGCAATCAATAACTGGAGTCTACCGACCTCAAAACCTCAGATATAGTAAATTTTGTAAAAGAATTGTCTAAGTTTTTTAAATTATACAACTTTTGCTAAAATATAAAACAAAATCAAAATCTCCATATGCAGTACATGATGGGTTAATTTTCTATAAATATAGGTGGGTAATTTCCACCAAATGTCCACTAATTGTGAAAATATCAAATGAATACAATAAGTACTTATTCCCTTCCATCACTATGTCTAAACAAAATGTCTTGCCACTTAATCAATAAACCAGTAAATTTCTCTCATTGATTAGAACCCATCTCAAAATATATTTTCATAGTTGCATAAGAACATTTAAAAAGTTGACTCAGATTTCTAAAATCTAGATGATTACACATGTAATACTCTTCCTAGCATTTTGTTTAGACATAGTAATGGAAGGGAATAAGTACTTACAGAAAAAGACAACAAAACAACAATGAAAATTAGAAGCAAACAACAAAACAACAATGGAAATCAGAAAAAGTGAAGGTGTATTTTGCTAGTTACCAAAGTATCCAAATATTAGTTTAATTAAATTTGGAGGTAAGGACACAATGGAATGTTTGGTCAATCTTTTAGTAAAGGCTTGATAGTAGATTACATTTCACATTTCCATTTATGGACTTAAATAGGATAGTAAGCAATGGAACCATAAACTTACTAATACTTTATTGCATCTTGGCTTTTCTCAATTGAAATCTGATTATTCCCTCTTTACTTATAAAACTGCTATTGACTTTACTATGATTTTAGCCTATATGGATGATTTAATACTTGTAGGCACTAACTTAAAACACATTACCTAAACCAAACAATTGATATAGTTCATCAAAAGAAAAGTATTCGATATTTCATTATTCTCTCTTTTATGAAACACTCCTTGCTTTTGCATAGTCACTTAGAAGGATTTTGGTATTATCTGCAATTGTATTTTCAGGTCTACAGCATGCATCAGGGAAAAAGAGATGTAGAAACTGTATTAACAATGGGGATAATGGAAGATGTTAGCATTATTCCCCAACCGGCAGGTAATTATACATACAGAATATGGGCTTTATTTTAAGGCGAATAACTGTAACAAAGAAACACAGTCAGTTCTAAGTGTTAACTGGTAATTATACTTGCCAAGATGTAATGCAATTTCTTATCAGGGACTATATAAGTTTACCTTCTTTGTTCAACATTTTATCATTGTAACTCCTACCAAAAGTTACTTTGGTACAGTTTGGATTACCTTGTAGCTCATGGGATCATTTCAATATAAGTAACTATGTAATTCTTCACTTACTCAATTGTTTTTATAGTCTTAAGGGTTTATAGATGAAGTTAACTGAGAGTTTATGAAAAATTTAATTGTTGAAGCTTATTTCAACCTTTACAAAAGCTACTGTTTCAAAATTGATAGTAAAATTCTTTTATATATTTTTTTCATGAATGTTTGTGGAGAAGAACCATAAAGAAAACAAAAGCAGAGTTGCTCATGCTATTTTGTGAGAAACTTTAAAACTGAAGTTATCGAAAATACAAGGCCAAAGCAAAAGAAGAAAAACGGAACTTTGACATTATTCACTATTTGAATATATATGTAGCTTGCTTTTGTAGAGTTTACTAGTGCAGAACAAGGCTTAAATTAGTTAGTTTTCCTCAAGTGGGCCAAATATTTTCTTATTAGCTCTTACCTTGTGTCATTGCTATCCTGTAAGGTGTTATATATGATGCTTCACTAGTAACTTCACTTCAACCCATGCTTTCAAAAGGGAAGTATATATATTATTCTCAAAGAATGGACACAATACTTTCTACCTGTGTTTTTGTTTTCTTCTATTGGATCCATGGTACTCTCTTAAGTATATATTTTGTTGTGTTATAGATACAGGGAAGGTTGATTTAGTGATGAATGTGGTGGAACGTCCTAGTGGAGGATTTTCTGCTGGTGGCGGGATATCAAGTGGGTAAGTGGTGCGAGTCTAGAGCATGCTTAAATAATGCTTAAATTTAGTAAATATGCAAATTATCTCAACCTCCTTTACTTATTAAAAATTCTCCTTCAACAGTAAATTCGGAAGTTATTGAAAATCTTCTTACTTTAAATTTCCGAAAGACAACCATCCCTTCATATGTTACCAGAGGGGAAATCAACACAGTTTTCTTTTTTCTTTGGTTAGTGTATGGTCTAACTAGCCGTTTACATTTGCAGGATTACAAGTGGTCCACTCAGAGGACTTATTGGAAGGTAAGCTTATTTTCTTGTCGTGTGGTGGGTGAAGTTAATGCTTTGTCTTTTAAAGCATTCTATACTCTCTTTCATCAAATAGCCAAAATTACTCAACTTCAATTAAAACTGTTTTAAGGACTATTTACCTCTGCTGCTGGCTCCATATACGGCTAGTGCAATAAAGTGTTTATTCATGACATTGTTAAATATTACACATGCCCCTTATAGCTGTAAGCACACTGCCTACTGTTCACAATCTTACATCTGATAAAGCCGAGCCATATGAAGATTTTATATGATACTAACTTTACCATATCAGTTTATCAGTTCTTTACCTATTGTTTTATTTAATTCACTTAAAAATATAAGACTAGACAGTACACCAACGTTGCTATTCTGTATTTGACTGGAAAAGTAGTCATGGGACAAAACAAACTAAGGAGACGAGACATAGAGAAATTGATAAACGCACTCACTATATAAGACTAGACAGTACACCCAAGTTGTTATTCTGTATTTGAATGGGAAAATAGACATGGGACATAACAAACTAAGGAGACGAGACATAGGGAAATTGATAAACGCACTCACTAGAGTAAGGGATAACTTTTCAAGTATGAGACCATGGAGAACATCTCAAGTTCCACATTGGTTAGACATAGAGCCTGCAAAAGGTTTATATAGAGTGACATCCTTCAGCTTGCAAACCGGTTTTGTAAGGTTGAGTTAAGGTCAAAGTTATTCCATTTTTTCTCTCCATCCTTACTTTCCACCCCTTCTCGACGAATTCCCCATCTCTTATCAAATCTCTTGGCCACACTTAGGTTCCACAGGCAAGTACCACCACTGTCTAATTAGAAATCTGGTGACTGATAGCGGCATTCACAGCTCCTTCTCTTTCTGTCAAACATTTTCTCATATTCTTGTTTGGGTTGTGCTGGTGGCAATAGCCACACAGCTGCTTGCAGACTATGAAGCACAAACACCAGCACGTCATTGACATGTTGATATCGGTAATGATTTATGAAAATGAATCAACCGAATGTAACCACACGTGTCGGTGTCGTGTTGGACACTGTACACACCTTCGATAAAAAGCATCGGTGCTACTGAGCTTGTAGATGCTGCATGGACATCCTCATAAATGCCCCAACAGCTCCTCCACACCAGCAGCTGATGGAAGAACATATGAGAATAGAATGGGATGAAATAAGGAAGCATTGGTGTTTTAGAACTATCTAGTGTGATGAAAGGACCAACTCAACAAAGGAATATATCAACATATCATAATACATTTATAGTGGGAACCATTGACTTTTTCCAGGGTATGGATCTTGAAGCAAATGTGTCCATGATAGTTTACAAAATCGTATGATTTTAGTTTTATTAATAAAATATAAAAATATAATTTCCTCTCGTTCTCTCCCCTCAACTATAACAAACTCTCACCCTCTCTTTCTAGTGGAGACAGAAACAGAATTTCCTCTCGTTCTCTTCCACAACAACCTCACTCTCTCTGTCTTCTACACACAGTAACAAACTCATTCACTCTCTCTCACTTCCATTCTTCAACTCACCTCAACCTCTCTACCAGAAAAACTTCAAATTTTCCTTTGCACATTCATCGCGATACGGGGACGATTCTAACAGAATAACGAAAAAAATCTCTTTCTCTCTCAACATACATTTTCTCTTCTCTCATTCTCTCTCAATGAAACTATTCTCACCTCACAGCACTTTGAAGAGCTCCATTCAGTGCCAAAAATCATTACAGAATCTCACCTCAATCACGCTCTTGCGCATTCATCGTCGTCATTGTTCAACGGGAGAAAGAAAAGCAGTTGTGGAATCAGAGAGATTTGAATATTCTCTTGAGCTCTAAATCATCAACATCAAGATTCAAGTGGAGTTTGTAGAGTTTTCTTCCACGATACTAACGAATCTTCCAACATGTAAGTCTTCGAAAATCTCTCTCAGTATGCAAGATTCGAAAACTGAGCGCATAACTATGTATGAGAAGTTTGAAGTAACGTTCAAATCTACTTTCATGTTATGCTTTTCTTGACGAGTTTGAGTAAATAAACGTAAATGGATCTTAGATTTGTAACCTACGCGACGAAGCGAGCATAACAATACCAGTTTTGTGAATTTTGGTTGAGGTTCGGCTAACTCCAAGGTATGCATTCATTTTGTTATTCCTGAGATATTTACCAGG